ATAATAAAAACACAAAAAAAATCCTATAGCTATTTGTCATATTTTTTTAGTATTGTAGTACTGATAAAGATTGGTCACAATAAGGGCTTTATTATCACAATGTCACAACTATCATTCAGAAAAAAAGTTTCTTGGATTTGTTGAAACTACAATGTTTCATTATACCATTATTTTTTATGTATACATATAACTATAAAATAAATAATTTAGCATTCAGAATTTCTAAAGAATCGTTTCGGGCGCATCGCGCACTGCTTTGCGTCCTAACGAACTCTATGCAATTGCAGGGTACTATTAGCGTTACGCGCGGGTGTACTGGCTCCGGTTTTTTCAATTTTCCAATGTGTTCCACAAAATTGATTTGAACAATATTTGCAGTACTTAAAGAAAAAACATTAGGCTATCGAATAACGCTAATTAGAAAGTGGTCCAACTAAACGCACTACACGAAAACATCAATTTAAAAATTATTTTGTCTTTTTCAGCTAATAATAAACAATTTTTTGGCATCGATTGTTCTACATAATGTGGTCTGAGTCGATGTGAGTAGAATCACGCAAAAAATTTTTCGATATCTTTCATGGGTACGCGAAAAAGTGAGTTTGAAAGAAGGGGCCACTTTGGCATATTTTCAATGATATCTCGGCCATAAGATGAGGTACAAAGTTGAAAATTGGTATATCTGTTTTTATCATTTAGATCTATAAAATGGCGTATAAATTATTTAATTACCAGGGTGGGGCCGATTCTGTATGGCAATGCGCCCATACCCTTTATATTGCAATCAAAAAAGGGGAACATATTAAAAAATAAGGAATAAAATTTATGTCTAAGATATTCTTATAAATTAACTCTGTTTATATTTATCTTGGTGTTCAATCAAATAATGATAAAGTTACATTAAATCTATGTATAGTCTCTATCTGAAAACCTTTTCTGCACATTGTGTTAATCTGCTTAAAAATGTTGAACGAAATATCATTATCATCATTATCACAAAGAAAAAGAAATCATTATGTTGTCATAACAGTAACTGACAAAAGTTCAAGAAAGTTATATGCAAACACTTTTGCCAATTTAATTAAAGGATAAAACCAAAATTACTTGCATCTGAAAAGCATATCAACAGCTTACTAAAATGAATTATTATATGGGGATGACACTTGAAAACTAGTTTGCTGTTATCCAGTAAATTATTGTACAATTCATGATCTATATACTTCTCGACATCTGTTAAACGTATTATCACCAATAATAAACGGAAATAAACTGTATAGCAAAATATACTCCACGAAGTAGCAACTTATTTACAATTTCCACTTTTGCTAAAACATTTAACAACCTCATTATGTATCACTATAAATTTATAAATATAACCACATTCATGAAACAATCACAAAAAATATGAATATTGCATACAGTTCAAGTATCAACTATTTGATTTGCTAGTATCACCAGTTCCCCAATTAATCAACATAAATAAAAATGTACATACAAAAAATTGCATGGCTTGTGGAAGTCAATGCAGATGAAATATTCAACAATAAATAAAAATAAGAACAACATATGAATTTGATAGAAACACTTTTTATAGTAATTTACCACCATAAGAATGAATGATCATGAAATTGAATCAAAGCTTATACATATAATTTCGTCAGGTAATAGAAAAATGAGTATAAGTAACATTTCATATAGACATAATACATATAATATAGACTAATGACTATCCTGAAAGATACTGGAAAAGAATGTTCTTCGAGCGAATAAGAGTTGTAAAAAAAAGTGACAAAAGCAAATAAAAAAATTAAACATAAGGATTTTTGTCGCCAGAAAGCTCTTCTAGACTTCAGAGTTTTATTATATTTATCCATAGCTTTTCTTTTTATTATATCTTGTTCATTAGAATTGACATATCTTCCCGTGAGATATCGATTAACACTGTTGCACCAATTTTTAATAAAAAAATATTACAATAGATTTGAAAAAAAATGGCTTTTAAATTATGCTTAGTGCAACTGAAACTAAATTAATGAAGAACATACTTTTCTAGTGTTTCTAATAGTTTTAGTTTAATATTGTCTGCAGTGCATAGTGTCTGTATGAAATGATCCAATACTTGACAACATTTTTGAAATAAATCAAATAATGTTGTACCTGCAACCTTCAGACAATTTCCTGTGTAATCCTCATATTCAATCCAAGAAGCTTCATCTTTGCCAATTGGATCTTCCAATAACTCAATTGCACAAGTGTTGCAATCCTGAATACTGTTTATCAGTTTGTGGGGAAATCAAGCAGGCTAGTGATTGTAGAAAAACAATTGGACTTGTCATTTATATTTTCATATCAGTAATATTTTATAATGAATAAATTTTATATAATTTTATGCAAGTGGAGTTTATACTTTCGTATACATAACGATTCTCACATTGGTGACCTACGACGATTGAGATTAAGACAAAGAAGCAGTTTTATTTTTTGAGGATTTAAGAAATATAGATTTTGACGCAGCACCATAATCACTCGTCTTCAGAGACGACTTATAAGGTACGTCCAGTCCTCGGTTCATCATAGTTAACGCACTTACTACCTGAACCGAACCGTGGTTACCCATTTGGTATTCCCAGATCTCAGTGTTTATTGCTGACACAAGAAATAATTTGGAGCCTAGTTATCTGCTGCTGAGTCACAATGGCTTGAGTTATTGAAAACATCAATTAAATACCGCGAATACTCATGCGGCAGCCCGCATGAGCACATATTATTATGGCTAAATAATGCACCAAAATATGAGACAAATTGTGATGAAAGCAATAATAAAAATTGTATTTATTCATTACGTCTCAATATAATCCTGATAATTCATATTTCAAACTGCAAATACATAAACATGGAAGGACATGTTACAAAGGACAGCGAAACAAGGAATACCGTTTCCATATTCCATATCCAGTTATGAAAAGAACAATGATATTAGGGCCGCTAAGTAAAGATGAAAAATCAACTAAACAATATAAAACAATACGCGATCTAATGAATAAATTGCACAGGATAATAAATTATGAGTTACGAGAATATTTTAAAAGAATAGGGA